GGCTTTGGGGATCCTAAAAACCTACAGAAGTGTGGAAAATTCCAGGATTCCTCCTACAGTCTTCCAACTGGTTGAGTTAGATTGTGCTATTCTTCTTGAATTTGCAATAAAACCAGATAGTGGAGATAGTAAACAGTTCAGTAACTATTGAATAAAGGATTTGCATTTTCCTAAGTTAGATTCTGAATTACATATCATCCTTACAAAGATAAATTATGTTAATATTAGTAATATTACTTACTATTAGCTAGTAAACAGAACATTTTAATACTTCTGTTTTGTAAATAGAAATAACACAGTTGGGCGGGAAAGCACACAAGCTTTGTTTTTTGGCCTGCTAACCTGTGACTTGGCCCTACTGTAGAGGGTCAGACCATTTGGACCTTACCCTGGCTCAGGCACCCTCACTGATCTGCTGCTAGAAGTTACCCAGACATGAACCCTAATGAGAAAAAAAAAATTAGCTTTGGTGCATAAACTTTGCCAGATCCAACTCATAGCATGACTAGTATTAGTCACTAGGTCTTAATTTCTATGATGTTGCTGACAATTATTCTATCAGAGGAGCTTTCCCAGGAGTATCCACATAATTTGGAGCCACAGGCATCTTTGGGAGTAGGAAAGAGATACATAGAAAACAAGTGAATTCTTCTTTATAGTTTTGCTCTCACACACAGGTCTTCCCCTGATACCCAGAGAGGCCACTCCTTCCTTCCTTCCTTCCTTCCTTCCTTCCTTCCTTCCTTCCTTCCTTCATTCGTTCCTTCCTTCCTTCCTTGAAGGGGAGTATATACCAGAGATTGAACTCAGGGGCACTCAACCATGGAGCCCCATCCCCAGCCCTATTTTGTATTATATTTAGAGACAGGGTCTCACTGAGCTGCTTAGCACTTTTGCTGAGGCTGCCTTTGAAGTCTTGATCTTCCTGCAGAAAGGTCATTTCTTATATCCCCTGGAGCACCAAAGAACTGACCAGGCCTCTTCTTCATTGAAGAGCAGGTGCCATGAACACAATAGGTGAATAATTTTGGGTGCTTTTGACATGTCACTCTCTCCTCACTGCAGCAAAGGAAAAGATCAAGTGTTTTTACTTTTTCTTTTCAAGCTTAAGCTATTTCAGGGCATTTGTCCACCTTTACAGAGTTTTCTCATAAAGTCGGAAGGGTCTGAATTATAGGAACACTGCATTTTCAGAGAGGGGGAAGAAGCCTAGAGTTGAATCCCTTAGAAACAGGTCCTGTTCACCAGACCACAGCTTGACCTTTAGAGCAGAGGTCCCTGGCTTCTCTCTTCACCACTCACGGGCTAATGCCTGATGTCCACTCTGGGCCAGGCATTGTGGCAAGTGCCATAATCCTGTTGAGATAGTTTATGGGACTTTTGCTATGTTTTTGTGTTTGTCACTTCCGGCTGCCACAACAAGATACAGCAGTTCCCCCTTATTTATGGGGAACTAGGTTTCGAGACTTCCAGTGGGTACCTGAAAGCACAGAGAGTACTGAACTCTAGATAAGCATTGTTACAGTTAATTGGACAACGAGACATTCCTGGGCAGCAGAAGCAGGATATGCAGGAAGAGGGATGGTGCAGGTCCCTGGGAAGATGGAATAGGATGGTGAGATTTCATACCATTGAGAACGGTGTGTCATTTAAAACTTGTGAGTTGTTTATTTCTGGAATCTTCCATTTAAAATTTTGGTTACTGAAACTGCAGAACATGAGACTCACATACCATAGAATGAATAGCTTAAACCCCAGACATTCATTTCTCACAGTTGTGGAGGCTAGAAGTCCCAGTTCAAGAGGCTGATTAGGCTCATGCTTGGGGAAGGCTCTGTTCCTGGCTTGCAGATGGCCACTGTCTGTCTGTGTCCTCACATGGCCTCTTCTCCAAGCATAGGTGGAGGCAGAGGGAGAGCTCTGTCTCTTCCTCTTTTTAAAGACACAGTCCTTCTGGGGGCAGTGGCACAAGCCTGTAATACCAGCGGCTCAGGAGGCTGAGGCCAGAGGATTGCAAGTTCAAAGCCAGCCTCAGTAAAAGGGAGGCCCTAAGCACCACAGGGAGACCCTGTCTCTAAATAAAATACAAAATAGGGCTGGGGGTATGGCTCAGTGGTCGAGTATCCCTGAGTTCAATCCCCGGAATCCAATAAATAAACAATAAATAAATAAATAACACAGTCTTGTTGAATTAAGGGTCCCACCTTTATCACCTCACTTAACCTCCCCAACCTCCCCAACAGCCCAGCCTCCAAATACAGTCACAAAGGTGGTTAGGGCTTCAATAGATGATTATGAGGGTGAACTACAATTGAGTTCAAAGCAGTTTCCTGCTTGAATTTAAGGATTTAAAAAAAGAGTTGTAATCACAGTTATTTTTGGTCCAAGTGAGATTTCTACCTATTGGTTTACCGACTCACACTCAGCTAAAGTCTGTCGGCCGACAGGGCACACTGGTTAAGGATCCTTATACTTCCAAATACACAAGATCAATAAGGTGGATCAATAAGAGTAATCACTCGGGTCACACTTGTGCATCACCCTCTAAGGTAGGGAGTCAGGTAAACAGTCCTGCCAGAGATTTCTCACACAGAGAGTCTCATACATGGTAGGCACCCCATCCAAACCAGCCAGAGTCAACAAGTAAACCAGTGAGTGAGTGGGTGAGCCAAGGTGATTTTCCCTGCGCGTGGTAAGTGCCTGGGGTAGAGGGCTTGATAAGCAGAGACTTGCCGTCTCCCTTCTGTCTGTCATTTGCACAATCCTGAGTCAGAACCTGAGCCTCTCATTTTTCAACTCTGGGTTTTTTTCACTTCCTGTACCTTAGGAAGGGCAGAGCTTCCTTCAAGTCTCTGTGAAGTGAGCCTTGGATAAACTACAGAGGTGTGAAAAGCACCTGTCTAAGAAGATCTATAAAACGTCTCCTGTAGGTCTTTAATCCTGCTCCTCCGGGTGTGTGGCATTGGCAGTTCATGCAGGTTCAATCAAACGCAGACAAGTGGGAATGGATTTCCTCTTTACGCAGTTGGCTACACAGTGAGTTTCTTTTCTTCCTTCCTCTTTTTTTTTTTTTTTTCTCTTGCTTTGCACTCTTCACAAACTTATTTTGAGCTCCGTCTGAGACGGCCGGGATGTGAAGGATCAGGCTAACGTTGTTTGATAATTAAGGAGAAATCTATTTTAAAAATCTCTCCCAGCATTCTGCCAGCTGGACTGTAAACCACGCGCAAGTTGCACTAAGTAAGAAAAATGATCGGCCCAGGTCTAGTTCATGATGACGTATGTTAATGACAGCATATTTCATATTTTTTTCAAGCTATTTGGGATAAATTAAGCAAGGGAAGTAGTCTACCCTGCAAACCCTGCATTGGCATGCAGCTATTAGAGTAGGATTCCTCTTCTAGCAAAAACTACATAATTAAATGTAGAAGACTTAATAAATATTTGATAAACCCAATTTAGCTTACATTCGCTGAGTGCCTTCTATGTACGTACAAGCCATAAGGCTCACAGCTACATGGTTTATAAAAAAAGAATAAAGCAGCTTATCAAGGAGCCTTGGTTTCTTAAGTACTTTATGTCACAATAATGTAAAAATATGTAATAACTTTTTAAAGACATCAGCTCATGTGTTGTATCTTGAAAGACTCTGCTTCCCTTCACATGTTTTCATCCTGCTGGGAGCCAGAGAAGTTTTGTGGAAATGAACAATTAAAAATGTTCCGACCTTAAGGAGATCTTTGTAAAATGTTGGTAGGGCTTAAGTAATGCTGTTAAAAACATTAATTTAGACAGGGTGTTCTAGCTGAGAGCCAAAACAAAAGGAACGGAATTCATTTACGGGCTCTTCTGCCAGGGGGACACATGCACACTGCCATTTGCAGATCTAATTCCATCTTGGCTGGAAATGTTTTTCCTAAGCTCACATCAAGAAATCCACCAAGAAAGGAGTCCTGGCTCCCACAGCAGACAGATAACACTAGCTCCTCTCAAAAAGGCCCTTAATACTGATGGGTTTCTTCTTCCCCCACCCGCCCCTCCTGCACTCAGGGAAAGGCTTTATAGAAAGTCCCTCTTATTTGTTCCTTTGTATTTCTCATTAGGGCCTGAGAGGAACCCTATTGAGTTTCCCTGACATTATCTCAGTCCACCTGATGCCTGGGTGTTTTGAAATGTCATATTGCTTGAGAGATAATACCAGTCCTGATTATGTCTGTCACAGAGCTGGGCATGGAACAAGTCGATGCAAGGGGACAATAGGAAGGGAAGTCTTCCTTTGCACCTTGGAGTGGACAGTCCAGAGCAAGGCCAGCCAAGTGTCCACTCATCCAGGACCCGCAGGGCCACCAGAATCACTCCTGTTCTCTCTGCCATCCTGCCCTCCTAGATCCTGCATTCCCTTGGTGCACAGTTCTGGCAGGGGGGAATAAACACAATTGATATTGGACTCAGAGAAAAATTAACCCCAGATTTGCAACCTCGAAGCCTACATGGGCCAGACGAGCATATCAATGTACGAATCAGACTTGCTTAAGACCTGCTGAAGAGTCAAAGTCTGGCCCTCTGAAAGGAACTCAAATTTAAAACACCCCAGCACACAGTTGCCTAAAAACAAACCACATCTTTGGGCATTAACTGACTCACATCACCRATACACCATCCCCGACCTGGTCTGCACTCTCGTTTTATAGATGGGACCCGAGTCCCAGGATGAAAACCAACTTTCTTCCGGAGCGGGACTAGATTCAGTTTACCTAAATTTCTTTTCCTACTTGGTTATTTGTTGGGGGCAGGAAATGAAGTTGGGACACTTCTAAGTCCCAAACCTTCAGACCTGTTGGCACCATGCCCTTCTGACTAGAGCTGCCTGGAGAAAGAATAAGCTGCCCGTCATCTCAAGCGCAGGGTAGGTGGCTTCGGTGGCTCTGGAAATGAAGCCCCCAGTTTATCTTTTGTTTTAGTCAGCTTTGTGTCACTGGGACCAAAAGACCTGACATAAATAACCTAGAAGAGGAAAAGTTTATTTTGGCTCATGGTTTCAGAAGTGCAGTTCTTGGTGGGCCAACTTCACGGTGGAGGAAAGCAGCTCAGGGCACGGCCATCTGGAAGCAGAGAGAGCGCGTTATGCTCACCAGGGACAAAACATAAAACCCAAAGGCATGCCTCTAGTGACCCACTTCCTCCAGCCACATCCTGCCTCCAGTTACTGCCCAGTTAATCCATATTTGTGGATTAATAGACTGACTAAGTTATAGTCTCGTGATATAATCATTTTACCTCTGAAAAATTCTTGCATTGTCTCCTACATGAGCTTTTGGGAAATACCTTACACCTAAACCATGATATCTACCTTATGCCTAAGACATCTTCCTTCATCTTTCAGCTTCTTCAATTGTAGGATGGGAACTCCACAGATGAGACTGAAGCAGAGATGTAATAAGCTGGTGATAGGAAGCCCTTAAAATGGTGCCCGATGGATTATCAATGTGTTGTGTTGGCACTATTATTTGATGTGGTCTTAAACATCACCTGCCAAAATAAAAACATTACTCAGAAGCCCAACTAATAGAAAATGATTTAAAAAAAAAAAAGAGCTTTGCATGTGATTCACACTGCATACCAAGGAAAATTACAAGGAAAGGAATGACAAGACCCAGCCAGAAAAACTGAATCATGAAAACCAAGCAGCAATGCTATCCAAGGTAAATCTTTTCACCAGCCAGGATGGTAAGAATTAAGCAAATTTATTCTCAAGAAAGATGTGGCAGAGAGCTTTCTCAGAAAAAGAAAAATTGAACAATCTGCTTACTAAAACCTCTTAGGAAAGAAAACTTCCTTTCAGAAATACTTCACATTCAAAATTGTTGTGAGTCAGGAAAAAAAATGGATGGGGGCATTTTTCCTCAAGTGAACTAAGATGGATAATTTCTGTAAATTAACCACTTTCCAAAAAAATAAAAAGAGAAGCAAATTAATTCTGTGCTATTAAAATGCATCTATCTTCCTACATACTTAAACATCGCTGGTTTTGGTTGGGGGTCTCTGCTGGCAGGGAGTCTGCTGGGGAGTACCCACTTTTGAGCCGTGGATCCTTTCACATGTGCCACTGTAGTTCTGACGTCTATGTTCACTTCACGTGGGTCCTTGCATTCTCCAAGCTTCCAAGGGCCATCCAAGTCCCGTGTTCGCACCTCCTCCGGGGTCTTTGCCATGGTGTCCAATGCAGTACACACACACAGAGTTTCCACATCAACACACTCTCTTCAGTCCAGCCCTGTGTCCCCCTCCTTGGTCACTTGTCAGCTTTCCATCACTCTGACAAGAATACCTGAGATCAAGGTAAGAGAGGAAAGATTTATTTTGGCTCCATAAGTTTGGTCCACAGTTGCCTGGCCCGTCACTCGTGGTGAGGCAGAACATCATGGCATGACGAGTTTTGGGTGCAAAACTGCTTACCTCGTGGTGGCGGCTGGGAAGCAGAGAGAGAGAGAGGAAGAAAGGGCTGAGGACAAGATATACCCTTCAGATGGTGCCCCCCAAGACCCACTTCTTCCAATCAGGCCCCACCTCATGTCTCCACCTTTTCTCAGTAGCGCCAAACTGGGGACCAAACCTTCAACACATGAGTCTTTGGGGACATTTCAGGTCCCAATTAACACCCACACACCGTCTTCTGGCCGCAGCCGCTCTTCTTCCTTCGCAGGTGTCTGGTTCCCAGCCGGGGTGTTATAACTTGACCCTTGATACTGGGCTGGTGCCAGGGGAGGAGGTGGAGGCGAATCCTGACGGTAGTGCATACCACCTTGAAAGGTTGATGCTTTTGCACGATCTTCAAACAGCCTCTCACAAGGGGAAGTGAGCCCCTGCAGCAGGGCCAGGGGTGGGAGGGGCCTGGGCCTTTAAGGTTCTAAGGGGCGTTCACCCCATCTCAGTCCTTAGCTTCTGGCCCCTTGCCCGCTCATGCCCTGAGCACGGTGGATTGGCCGGGGCTGAGCATGCAATCCACTTGGGAGCACTGGGGCTGCTCTCACAATGAAGGCCTGGGCCCGACTCTGCCTACCTCCTGTCTACAGGAGACAAAGGTCTCTTTTATTTCCTGTGGAGGAGTGTGTGTTGGTCAGCTCTCCATGGCTGTGACAAAGTACCTGAGATACAGGACTTAAAGAAGGAAAGATTTGTTTTGGCTCACAGTCTCAGAGGTTTGGGTCCAAGGTCACTTGGCTCTATTGTTTTGGGGCCTGTGGTGAGGCTGGACATCAAGGCGGAAGGGCATGGCAAAGGAGAGCTGCTCAGCTCATGATCAGAAAGCAGAGAGAGAGGGAGGGAGGGGAGGGGGGGCAGGCGCTCGTGGGGGAGAGAGGGAGGAGCCATGGACAAAATACATCCTTCAAGGACCTGCCCTCCCACCAGTGACTGACTTGCTCTGACTAGGCCCCCACCTCCTGAAGTTTCCACCACCTCCTACTAACAGCCCCCACTGGGGAACAAGCCTTCAACACATGAGTCTTTGGGGGACATTCCAGGTCCAAACTATAACAAGGAGGCTCTCTGAGTGTCACCTGTGACTTTTATGGTCTTCCCCCAAGGCGTTAGTGGCCTGCTCATTATAAAGCATCCAATTTCACTGGGATCATTCACTTCATTATAATATTGCTTTGGGCCTTTAACTTCCCAAGTCCCAGAGAGTAATCAAGAGAGRTTGCTAGAAAAGATACAGAGAGGCTGCATAATAGATACCACCATCAGTCAGGTAACAGGAATAAATTCTAGCAATGCAACTATAATTTAAAACAATTTATTATATATCTCAAAATAACTAGAAGAAAGGAGTTTGAAGATTCCCAGTACAAAGAGGTGCTAATTACTCTGATTGGATCATTACACACTGTTTACATGTATCTCAATTACTATACTGTACCCTGTAAATACATACAATTATGTGTCACATTAAGAAAAAGTAAAACCTACACGAGTTTTTCTGATTGGAAAAAAGAAAGCCAGAGAGCCTGTTCCTGCCAGGACACTCCCTGCCCTTATCCAGGCGGGAGGCCCCTGTGTAGCCTGCACCCTTGCCTTGCCACGGCATGCCAGGTGGTGCCGGAGACGCACCTGCCACTGCAAAATATACCCTTCAAGGACACGCCCTCAGTGACTGACTTCCTCCCACTAGGCCCCGGGTGGACTCCACCTTGGAGTCGGCTCCTTTCGACCATTCTTGATCCTGTCGTAGGTCCATTTTTCCAGAAACAGGCTCTGAGTCTGAGAGTTGAGTGCAAGCAGTTTCCTGGGGAGCCCTAGAGTCCCCGCCAGAGGAGGGGTGAAGGACAAGCCAACTGTAAAGCTGTCACAGCTGGAGCGGCGCACACTGCCCAGGGTCTCTGGCGCTGGGCCCGCCCCAGTTGCCCTGCCCTGGAACAGTAGGACCTGAGCCTTGACACTGCCCAAGGACCAGAAGCACTGCTCTGTGGAGGCAGAGTGACTTTGGATGAGGACTTTGAATGAGAGGGACTGAGGACAGAGTGACTTTGGACGAGAGGAACAGAGCAGCACAGTCTCCTCCTTACCTCCATCTCGGGCCCTTCACTCAGCAGCCAGTGACCTTTCCAAAATGCAAATCGATCACATGACCACCCTCCCGCCTGAGTGCTAGGAATCAAGTCCAGGTGCCTTCCTTGGGCGCTGGAGGCTTTGCCTGATTGGACCTTGGCTGACCTTTGCGGCCTCTTTTTTTGACACTTCTCTTGAAGGTTCTGCTTCAAAAAGCAGAATATTTATGGCTGTACCAGGCCTGTGTAGGGGTGTGGGGGTGTGAAATGCTTTTTCTGCCCTCACCTCTTCCCTACCCAGAGCCACTTCCTCTAGCACCTCTGACCCTCCGACTCTTCTTCTTCCCCTACATTTCTAGCTTCCTCCTAGAAGTCTTCCCCGACCCCCTGGAGTAAAGGGTGCATGCTTCTTATCCTTCCTGCCTCTCTTAGACAACCAGACTGTTCATCCTGAGCTTTAATTCTGTGTGGCTCAGCCTCCCTGACTAAACTGTAAGTCCTGGGAGGACAGTGACCATGGCTGTCTTATTCATTGTTACCTCTAACTCCCAGCGTGAGGCCCAGCTACCAGTCTCCTAAATGAACAAGTGAATACAGAAGGCAGTGGAGCATTCAGCAGGAAAAAAAGAAAAAAGAAAAGAAAAAGATGACTATAAATTGCCCAGACAGGCTTGGAGAGAGACTGGAGTGACCAGTTTTCAGCAGAGATTCTCTCTGAGGTTGAAAGATGGTGATACCTATCAAGCCCATGAGGAAGGTGAACTCACCCAGTCAAATGGGGTTCAATACTCACCCTTCTAAAACCGCTCGGTGCAGTTCTGAACGCTGGAATTCAGGGGAGCGGGGAAGGCCATGGATTTAGAGGGAATCTAAGGAAAAAAAAAATCAATGAAAACAGAAGTTGTGATTTCTGCAGAGAGATCGAACAAGTTAGGACCCCCACTTTGAAGGTATTGGAACAAAGGACACAGGATGGAAGTCTGCAAGATGATTCAGGATGTGGGCAAACACTGAGGCTGTGGATGGCGTGGACAGAAGGGGACCTTAACACAGCAGGAAGCAGAGCACAGGCCCCACCTGAGGGAAGGCACAGATGGCTCTCCAACAGAGTGGGGCCACCAAATGGAGCGGCCTGCCCTACTCTTGCTGCAGTGACCCCTGTAAGAGCCCCGCCCAGCCTGAGTGGCATCCAGAGTGGGTATCTAACTGGTGTTTGTGGAAAGGGTCCTTCAGATGCCGAAAGGAAATAAGAGATTTGGCAAAACATCTTGGAGTTGAGTAGGAAAAGAAAAACTCGGATGGAGTCCCGGAGGACACCATACCCCTTTGGGATATAGCATGACCTCTTTTCCCTCAGCCATCCATTGTTTTGAGGAGTAAAACATTACTCGTCTGTGCCCCAGTTTCTTCCTCCGTAAAATTGAATAGTTGAAGGATTCGGMAACCAGACCTAGCACAGAGTTAAGCGCTTAATAAATATCTGCTATTATCATTGCTGTTTTAGGAGATACAACATGGCATCTTGGAAGAGTTATGTCATTTCTAATCGAGAAATGTGACTTCAAATGCTGGCTCCAAAGCATACTGATTATGTGACCTTGACCAGCTGTTCGACCATTTTGGCTTCATCTGGAAGAAAGRCAACAGTACTGTCGTCWTCTATCCTAGCTGGCGACCTAACCCTGGGTTCACAAAATCTGACCATTCCATTAACTCAAGAAGATGACAAATAAAGCACACAACCACCCAGAAATACCTCTTCAATAATCCAGAGACAGCTCTGCCCCCTGAAGGGTCCGTGGAAAGAGAGAGAGCCACTGGAGTTTTTTATTCTTATATAGGGGACACACAAGGGGAGGTTCCATGGAACATTTCATCCCCCAAAGGGCAAAGGGGTAGGATTACAAAGGAACAGGTGAGTGTAACTCAACCCCCGCGGGTGACACCTATATCTGGAGACACGCCTTGCTACAAAATGTAGTCATTGGTCAGAGCCCAGGGAAATCAGGACAGGAAGGTGTCTGCATCCACGGCAGCTCCTGGCACTACWGAGCACAGCGTTGTCCTAGCCTGGAAATTCCTTATTCACTTGTGCATGTGTGTGTTTTCCTTTGAGCTATTTATGGCGTGTGCCTTTGCCCTTTAAGAATCATCACTTGAGGGCTGGGATTGTGGCTCTARCGCRCTCGCCTRGCATGCATGAGGCACTGGGTTCGACTCTCGGCACCACATAAAAAATAAAATAGAGATATTGTGTCTACCTAAAACTAAAAAATAAATATTTTTTTTTTTAAAAAAGAACCATCACTTGATACTGGGAGTGATACCTGGGGGTTGTTTTCTGAGAGGGAAATGAAAGGGCGGCACAGAAACCAGACTTAAGTCTCAAGCCCATGCGAGCAAGCCAAGAGGCAGCCTCTCTGCCTGCTCTGAGGGAAATGGCATGGAATCTATTAGGAGAGCAGGACCTCACCACTTTTGTCTGTCTCTGTTTGCAGCCTCCTAGGCCTGATTGACTCCAAACATCTGAGGACAACGGCTATGCCCTGACACCATCTCAGGATGTGCCTCTAGTCTGACTGAAGCAGAATCTTTATCTGCTTTATTTTTATGTGGAGTACCAGGGGCCGAGCTAACAGAAAGCCACAGGCTTCCATGGGCCCCCTCTTAGTTGGGGTGTTTTCCCTGCTGATATGGTTTGGATACAGTCCGTTCCCACCAAAACTCATGTTGAAATTTCATTCCCCAAGTAGTGRTGTTGAGAGGTGGTAGGACCTTTATGAGACAATTAGGCTGGGTGGCCAGGTGGCACACRCCTGTGATCCCAGCAGCTCAGGAGGCTGAGGCAGGAGGATGGAGAGTTCAAAGCCAGCCTCAGCAAAGATGAGGCGCTAAGCAACTCAGTGAGACCCTGTCTCTAAGTAAAATACAAAATAGGGCTGRGGATGTGGCTCAGTGGGAGTGTCTCTGAGTTCAGTTTGATACCTATGCCCTGCCCCCAGCAAAAAAAGAGAGATAATTAGGTCACAGGGGCTCMATTCTCGAGGGACTAGATTAGCTCCTGCTATAGTGACCCCTGGTGTTTTGCTCATGGGCATGTACCTGCTCATGTGACACCATCTGACATGAGGCCTGCACCAGAAGCTGAGCAGAYGCCAGAGTCATGCTCTTGGGCCTCCAGAACTATGAGCTAAATGAGCCTCTCTCTTTTTAAAAAAATAAATATCCCAACCTCAAGTATTTTGTTAGAGCAATATAAAACAAATTGAGATAGCTCTTGACAACAGATATTTGTACCTGAATTATCTCCACAACGCTAACCAGATATTTTACTGGAGACATTTCCAGTATTGCAATGTAGTCAAGGACAAACTCCAAAGGCATGAATTGCTATTATTGTATAGAATCCTCCTCCAAACTTATTTTCTCTCTCTGCCCTCTCTTAATATATATGCCCGGTACAGACAAATCACACCTATGAACGGTAAACTCAAATCTTTTCCAGATACCATAAGTATGATGTTAACAATGAGAAACAGATAAGAGAAGGCTTTCAAACCTTGAAGCTGCATTTCAGAAATAGTTACAGATAGAGATATAAGCTATTAGGCGTTTTCCCAAAAGAACATGAGTAGAATGAAAAGTGTGTCTCAGTATGGATGAAAGAAAAATAAGAAAGAAGGTTTATTATTTTTTTTAACCAGGGTATTTGATATAATTAAAGGAAAATTGAACTCTGAAAATATCCAAGTCTTTGACACTTATAAGCCACCAGATTTATCACTTACATCACTTTGTTGGACCTCTTCATTTTTATAGCTAATAATAATAATTATTAATATAATTTTAATAATTATTATTAGTGCTATCTGGTACCAGGAACCATGTCCACCACTTAAACAGCTAGCATTTCATCTTAGCCTCACAACAACCAATGAAAAGATAGTATTTGCTCCAATTTGCAGAAGAGGAAGTTAAATCTCAGTTGGTTAGGTAACCAGATCCAAGTTCAAGGCTAGGAGCCATGCAGTCAGGATTTGAACATAGGTTAGTTTAATATGAAGTCTGAACTCTTAAACTCTATATGATATTGCTGCTGGCTGTGAGTTTTCTTTTTTAGGCTCATGCCCAAATTTAACACACTTGAGAAAGAACACTGGTATGTAAGTCAGCTTCCGTTACTGTAACGAAGACCTGAGATAATTGACTTGTAAAGAGAAAAGGTTTGTTTTGGCTCACAGTTTTGGAAGTTTCAGAAAAGTTCAGTCTGTGTTGGTTGGCCCCATTGCCTTTGGGCCTGTGGTGAGGCAGCACACCGTGGTGGGGGCATGTGGTGGAGCCAGCCATTCACCTCATGGTGGGAAGCAGAGAGAGCCCGGGGAAGCAGCCGGGGTCCTACTGGTCCCATTTGAGGGCACACCCACAATGACCATTAGTTTCCACTAGGCCCTATCTCTTAAAAATCTCCACCACCTTCCAACAGTGCCAAGGTGAGGACTAAGCCTTTCACACACAGGCATTTGGGAGACATTCCAGATTCAAACTATAGCAAGTGGGTTCGTGAAGACCYTAGAAAACAACAACAAAACACCCCTGAGAAGTGGAGGGGGTCCCCTGCCTGGGCTCTGTGGCCTGCAGGCTTCCATCGGCTGCACGTCAGCATCCACATCAGCATCATAATGCTCTTGCTGGAACAAAAAAGTATAGCATCAAGGACTTTTAGAATAAACTCTGCATATTCCTCATTCACTGGAGCATCAGACAACAGATCTCAACCGTTCTCTAGTCTATCCCAATACCAGACTCTCTACGGGGCTAAGAATATGTTCCTTGGAAGTCTGAAGGCATTTCTCCCCTGGATGGCTAAGTGCTACTGCTAGGAAGTATGGTGCCACCGAGTCGCCGAGCCTTCGTGGGTGGACTTTTTATTTTCTTGGAGGCTTTGCTTTTAGGAACTTCTGTGTCTACGGTACTCTGAAATTATATAAATTATGGGTCTTAATGAAGGTCTATTCTGGCCTGGAGTCCTGGTGGATCCCCTCCACCTAAGAACTCATGTCCTTTGTCTCTGGGGATAGTCCCCCAAATACTGAAGGATATAATCTACTTACCATAAAGTCTACCCAACAAAGGACACATTTCAGTGGTTTTTGGTATACAGTCAGGAGTTGCTTAATGGACTGAGAATTTTGTCCTTAGGTGACCTCACCATTGTGTGAACTCCATAGACTGCCCTTAAACAAACCAAGACGTCTACCAGGTCACTAGGCTATAATCTTAGGGGACCACTTGCATATACAGTCTGCCATGGACTGAAATGTCATCACATCAAGTGCGACTGTATTTACAGGTGTGGGACCATTATCATGATGGAATTGTGGAACATCTCCAGCACCCCCAAAACAATCCCCATACCTATCTGCAACCATTCCCTGTGTTCCCCACCAGCCGGAAGCAACCACCAATCTATTTTTCTTTAGATTCCCTTTTTTCCTTTCTTTCTTGGCAGGACTCAAACTTGCCATCTTCCTCCTGTGTAGCTGGGTAGAATTATTTCTTCAACAACCCTCTATTTTCTTTGTTCTCTCTTTCTGGAATAGCTATTGTTCGGATATTGGATGCCCCTGATGGATGTTTTAGTTTTCTTATCTTTTCTCTCCTATTTCCATCTCTCTCCCTTTGTTCTGCTTTAAAGTCAATTTTATCAATTTAAATTCCAAATCTTTTACTGAAAATGTCATTTCTCTCACAGTAGTTTTTAATTTTCAGGAGTTCTTTCTCTTTTGTACTCTGCTCTTTTTGTAACCTCCTGTTCTTTTTTCATGGATGTGATCCCTTCCTTTATCTCTGAAGATAGAGCTTTCTTGACATTTTCTTCTGCTCCTTGGGTCACTGCTTTCCTTTGAGTTCTTCCTTCCTTCTGTTTGTTTTGGTGTCTGATTTTCATAGTAGAGCTTCTTAATATTTGATGATGTTTGATTGTCGACTTACACTCAGGAGTGAAGCACTCAAATGTGTGTGTGTGTGTGTGTGTGTGTGTGTGAGAGAGAGAGAGAGAGAGAGAGAGAAAGAGAGAGAGAGCAGCTGGTGACTTGAACAGAAAGTCATTCTCGGCCTTAGTGGCTTGGTGTCAACACCAGGGAGCTTTAAAACCAACAGGTGGGGGACCCTGGAGCATTCAAACTAATTGGTTGGAACCTTGTCATTCATATCTTCAAAAGATGTTTCTATTGTGCAGAGTAGAGAACTTAGCTGGTGGGGGGGGGGGCTGTCCCCTTCTCTGAAGCATCCTTAACTACCAAACAGAATACACTTTTTTTTTTTTTTTTTCCTGGAGCTCATCAGGTTTCTCAGAAGAGAATCTTTCAGTCTTCTAGCTCAGGGGCAAGTACCTGGCTGCCAAGGTTCCAGGACCCTCCCTACTGGGAGGGGAGCCGAGGGTCTCTCTGGTCAGTCCCCAGACATGCAGGTACTCATGTAGGAGTTCCTGCTCTCTGTATTAAAGGTGCACCTTACCTTATCTTGCCCCAGGATTAGCAGCAGCAGCAGCACCTGGAAATCTGTTAGAAATGCAACTTCTCAGGCTCCACCTGGGACCTGAAGCTCTGAGGCTGAACATAGCCATCAGTGGTGTGTGAACAAGCCCTCCCAGGGATTTGGATGCTTGCTCACATTTGGGGACGCCTTCTCCAGCCTTTGGTTGGGAAGTGGGGAGAACRGTGGGGAGGAGGTCTGAGGACCTAAGAGTCTCTTCTTCCAGCACATCTCCTCAGAGACCTAAGGTAAGTCAGGTGTAAAT